TCCTTGCGAGCACACCCAGATCGTGCATATAAAATTTATAACTATAAATAAAATGACACTAGTAGAAAAAGTCGTCACATTTAATCTTATCTCGAAATTCTTGTTATCGCTGTCGTAGTATTAAAGTACTTTATATTGTAAAGTTCAAAATAGAATTGCAATTGTTGATGATGAATTTCGACTTTGGAGATGTGGCTCGCAGCGGCTGTTTTTTGGTTTTGAATGTGGCACTAGATAACTTGGAGTTGTACGGCTACGACATCAATGTCCCTGATAAGCACTCCAACTGTTTGCTGCATTATTCTGCACAACACGGTGAGTAAAATTTAATAACACTTCGTTTAGATTGCCATTAAGCCAAAAAGTAAGCCTTGGCAAAATGGTTTTGGCATTTAGTCCAAACAATTAAAAAGTCTTGCGAAATGGACTCATACAGTTAATTTAAGCCATACATTTTTAATAAATCGTTAGAATCGCATCATGAAAAACACTGCTAAACCCACATGGCTCCGAAATTGTGGGGAAAAAATTTAGCCAAGTAATTGAAAATATTTGTTAGAATAATATTTGGTTCAGTTGCTTTCAATTTGGGTTTATAAATATGCAAATTTTTACGTTAACGGACAAACGCTTCAAACAAGCCACGAAAGGCCACTTTTTAAGCAGAGCTTTTTCTTTTATGTTCTCGTGCTTCATTAGTTTACTCTCAATTTTTTTGCCGACCAATAATCTTCATACTTCATACTGTCTATTTTACTCAATTTAAATTGAATGCAATGTTTGCATCTGTATCTTAAAATTTTCTTAAATTTTGCTCCCTATATTATCGAATATATTGTTTAATTTGTCAAAATTTCAAACACGAAAGCATTATAACAGGGTTTCCACTTCGCGTTCTACAAAATGGTACAATACGACTGCAATACACACAACAGAAACTTCAGTATTTTTAAGTTCCCAAAGGTTTCAAATTCGGCATGACGCCAGTAGATGAAACTATTTTTTGCATTCGCTCTTCACTCTCCGAATTGTCTTAGACTGTAACTCTAAAAAGTTTTGTTTATTAATAGAGCAGCAGAAATGGCCACGTATACAGATAATAAATGGCAAATATTGTAATAAGCTTTGCAATTAAATTCTGGGGAAAATTCACCTCCAGGTTACAAAAGCAGCTGCAGTTACTCAGAATTCCAATATTAACGGAATTCTCAATTCATTGCTAAAATTTATGGGAGATTGAATGCTTAAAATTCAACATATCGAAACGAGGTTACAACGCAGTAAGTTGAACTTTGTTAACCAGTAAAGTGAAACTTCCCCATCACATGCAACTTAAGAAAGTTTGCCCTCATTGCCCTATTAATCTAATTACCAATAGCAAATATTTATGGGAAATCATGTCCGATTAACAGGTTGAAACTTAAACACATGATAACACAGCTGCTTATAATATTCCACTTCGTTCATCTTAGCTTCGATTTTTTCCGTCCGAAGCTCAATAGTCTCCAGATTTTTCATGTCGGTTTGTAAAATGTCAGCAATCATTTCAATGTCCGAATAATCAGTTCTTGAGGGAATGTGGGATTGTACTTGATCTACTTGAGTCTGGATATTCTGAAGCTCACAGGCAAGATTCTCAGCCAATTTATAGGTACTTTCAGGAGTCAGCAAATTGATCTTATTGCATTTGCAGGTTGATGGAACATAGAGTTCCAAACCTCCAAGCATTTGCTCTGCGTTATTTAGATTGTATTTGATACACTGAATCTGCCTGTCCAAGTCATCTTGTAGACTATTCAGAAAATTCAGTCGATTTTGAATTGGCTCCAAGTAGCGATGGACCTGCACGATTTTGAAGAAAAGGTCATTTGTGTATTCTGCTTGCAATCGAAATTGTTGCTCTTCAGCGCCCAGTTGAGCTGACCACAAATTCACCAGTTCATCCAGCTGTTGGAATGTTAATGGTGCTTCTACACAAGAATTTTTTAACATGATCTTTTTTTGTGTGGCAGATATTGCAGTTTTTGACAAAATTGTTTTCTGACGCAGTCACCGAAAGGTTGAGTTCAAACTAAGGTAGGGAGTTCTGCAACTGCACTGCGGGTACAAATTACTGAAAGCATTCACTTTCCAGACCTAAATAACCTGAGACTTGGTGAAATAATGTTTTTATTAAAAAATACTTCTAAATAGCTTCTTTATTTAAACATCTAAATAGACTGTTTCACATCAATATAAAAATATGCGAAATCTGTAAATAGACTTTAAAAGAAGGATAATAAACTTTTCCTTCCCTTTCACTAATGGATTTTTCCTTTATTAGCTCAAATGTTAGCGAGCCACAAATATCGAAAATGCAACAAGATGGTGACTTAATTACAGTCGCATACCATCAATATCAACTCAAAATCACATTAAATTTGATTTTAGCATTTTAGAGCAAATAATATTATCAACAAAGGGATGCCTTAAAACGCTGAATAGGCCAAGACCGGTAGTCAAAGTCTTGTCGTACGTTTCAAAGTAGTTTCAGAAAACTTGTGATATTCGATTTTGGTGAGTCGTTTTTCTAGAAATGGCTATTAGCTAAACGGCGTGCACCTTGAATTACTCGGATTCTCATAAGAAATTAAGTAAGAGGGTCAGGAAAAAAATTATAGTTAAAAAAGTGAACCAATTTTATTGATAGGGAGCTAAAAAGGGATCCTTCAAAGCAATAAAACTTTCATACACCTAACAAAATAATTTAAATCTTTAATTGTTGCAGGAAATACGGAAACAACTCTGAAGCTACTAACTTTGAAGGCTTTACCGGACGTTGTAAATGCAAGAAGACAAACTCCGTTGCATCTGGCCTGCATCCACCAGCATAAACCCATCATCAAAATCCTCGCAGACAGTAACGCAAAAATGAATATTAAAGATCATCTCGGGCAAACACCGCTTTTCTACTTAGCAAATAGCCCGTCTTTAGCTGAATTTTTAATAGCACAAGGCGCCGATATCAACATCAGCAATAGCATTGGAGAGACATTGTTGCATGTGGCTGTTAAAGCCGGAAAGAAGACACTTGTGCAATACTTTCTTGAACACGGATTGTATGTGGATGCCAAAACGGCTTGTGGAGACACTCCATTAATGTTCGCCGTCCAGAGGGGCTTCGCTAAAATTGTTCATATTCTCTTAGAACACGGTGCTGATTACAAGATCGAGAATCACAAAAGTCAAAATCTCTTGCATTTGGCGGTTGAAAACCAACAAAATGAGGTATGTGAACGATTACTCTCTATGGAGATCAATTTTGACCAACTAGACCGCGATGGAGCATCTCCATTGCACTTAGCAGCTCAAAGAAACTATTGTGATATTATTCGAATATTGGCAGAAAGCAACGTTAAAATTGACCAAAGGGACTTCGATAATTACACTCCTTTGCATGTCGCAGCTAGTAATAAAAACAACGGATACGCGGTTGCAGTACTGTTAGAGCAACACGCCTCAATTGATGCGGTCACTTGCAATGGAGATCTGCCTCTACATAAAGCAGCAGGATCTGGGAACGAGAAAGCAGTAAAGCTGCTCTATCGGAAAGCTTTTCTAAGTGTGAAAAACCGATGTGGACTCACGCCTTTAATGATGGCAGAAGCCCATGACAGGCGATCAGTGGTGTATTTACTTAAAGAGCTGGAAGTGCGTCAAAAGCTCAGAAGAACCAGTGCCATACCTGTAAAAAGAGCGATTTAAGACCGGGGAGTCAATTATAGACTCAATGGCCAATTTTAATCCCCGGTCAGTGTGAAAGCCATGTTAGTACGTTGTTTCTGAAGCCAAATTTTCAACAAACCATCTCCCAGTTTGTGACTTATTTTAATTACTAGTTTAATTGTTGCTTAATATGTATTTAATTTTATTTCAATTATACTGTTTTATGATTCTGCTGAATTAGCTTTATTCGATGATTAGAATGGATTGCGGGTGCAAGCAATGCAATCATTTTTGCAAACTAAACAACTTATAGCAGGAATTTGCAAAAATGCTGATTTTTTACATTTACGTTTCAATTTAGACATACAATTTACACATTCGTATATGCTAAAATATTTTCAATAACGACCGTAAATCCAGAAGAAACAAATATCATGAGGAGTTTTTTACAAAACTTTCTGAAAGAACCTGGACGCTCAAAAACCGGGGTTAAATTATTAATTAAAACCGGGTGGAAAAATTCTACAGAGGGAGAAATTTCGCTTCAATTATGCTGATATTGTTTCCTGTTGAAACTTTATGAGCATGTTTATAATGGAGTCGCTACTCAGTCTCCATGGGCAATGCTTTAAACACTTGGCGCTTAAGCTTATTTTAGCTGCAACTTTAAAAACTATCGCACCCAATGTGGTTTTTGCTGACGAAAACAGCAGAACCAACTACGAGCAAAGTCGAAGTTAAAAGCCATTTTATATCAAGTCAAAACAAACACAGTTGTATCTCCACGTGCCCATTGATCTAACTTTTCGGTTGGGAAGTTTCTCTTCTCAATCGAACTCATTAGCTCGACTGAAGATCCTCCAAATAATTCCCTATATTGACCTAAGTATTTAAATCGTGGCTTAATTGCGACAGCCTAGAAAGGTTGAATAAATTTACTCCGACTGCTCGGACTTTCTTCGATACTATAGATAGAGGCGTAGTTTCCAAACAGAATTCACTACAGAGGTACAAGCTGTGAAGGAGTGAGAGAAACCGAAAAAGTGATGTAAATTGTGTCTAATAATTATTCAAACATAATAAATTATTCGAATCTCATACAGACATTTTCTGCTAAAATATGTTAAGACTCTTGTTGCAATTTTGGAAAGAAGGCACGACCGAATTATGAAAATCTCATCAAGAAGAACAATGAACAACTCTTTAAAGCAAGCAACTATTTAAAGTTACTAAATAATAATTGTGTGAATTTTGTGGAATAAATGTGTTTCATATTTTGAAGAAATTTTCATATCACAGGTACATTTATGCTTCTTCGAGTTACATTCTCATACATGGTAAATTTGCTTTGTTCTATTTCCAGTACCTTTCAATTTAAATTACTTATACTTCTTCATACACTAAATATGTACATTTAATAAAAAAATTATAAATGCGCAAAATATGTTAAAAACATATGTCATCAGATTGACTTTATGAGGCGAGATATTTTAGAAAGAGATTTACCATTTTCAGACACGCTCCTTGACCAAATTTTTAAATGAATTATTTTTTTTTATTATTTTCGGACAAATGAGACGAATTAGTCAAATAGCTGGATTTCGAAATAACTTTGTGTATTGTTGGTACCTCACTTGGTGGCTTCGATAATTCCGATAAGTTCGGGATTTAAAAATATTTTTTGATGTTGAAACTAAGGTTTTTTAAATAGCATCCGTTGCATTTTTTGTAATTTTCTCTCTAATACCTTTCTGGAAGAATTATAAATCGAGAACTTGTTTGTTGTTTAAATTAAAAGATTGATAGACAATTGAAATTTCCTATTGTAAAAATACGTAACGCACATCGAGTTTAATTTTATTAGTTTTGGTCAACGTAAACAAAACACGTCTTTTTAAAATATTTTTATAAAATTTTTACTTTCATCAGTTTAATCATGATAATAGTTCTGTACTGGTGGCTTTAGCAAAAAACATATTTGAAATATTTTATAGGCAATTAACATTAACCAAAAAAAGCACAGAAAAACGGAAGATGAAAACTGCGAATTTAAAGTTGAGTGGACCGACAAGTAGTAAAGTGCGTTTATTCAAAACTTATTTTTTGTATGAAGAAATTCGCTCATAACAAGAAGTCAAATTTAGAAAAACACTTTACAAGAAAGTCAGCGTCATTTAGCACTGAATCGGTGATGAAAGGAAGAAAGCAGTTGAGGAACTTCAAAAAGTCAAGAGTCGTCAAATTGTGTGTTTAATAACTGGATGAAATCTTCCAGCAATATTAACATTGCAAGTTTTGTTTTCAGACAAGAAATTGCTAAGAGAGAAAAACTAACTAACTTAAAATAATAAATTCAAACAAAAATAAAAAGTTGTTTTATAAATACATCCGAACAGCTTGTTCGCATTAATAAATATTTATTAAGTAAAAAATTTAGTTTTATTTAGTGCATTACTTATTCAGTGTAATCAAAGTTTATTAAACAAGCAGATTTGGCTCTAAATTTTTATTAAATTGTTGTAATGTTCATATTTGGCTCTTTGGCTAATAGGTTTGCCGACCACTGACCTAAACGTATCTACACGCACAGTTGGGACACTATTGAAATCGTTTCAATTCTATTTCAGTTTTTACTTTGATTTATTCGGTTTTTCTAATTGTTGGCATATACCGGTTTGGAGACTTCTTCCTGTTTTCTCTAATTTATAAGTTTTAGTTAATATCATTAATTGATAAGTTAGTTTGCTGTAAATGTTGCTTGGAGAAGCCCACGAAGTGTTTTTTATTATTAATAAACTAATTCTAGTGTAATAATTTTTCTCATTAGGCTCGAAATTTGCATAGCCCGCAAATAGCAAGATGCAACAGTAAATAATGTTGGCTTAATTACTCCTTGGGCCTAATACTGTTTGCTCTTTAATGACTATGTTATATCTGAATGATACCTTTTCGTAAGGTCTGTCGAAGTAATATTAGACCCAAAATCATTAGCTATTTATTTATCATCAATATCAACTTAAAATCAGTTTTAGAATTAGCGCAATAGTACTGTTGATATAGTTGATAAGGAAGCATTATTTAAACTCAGCTACTTGCATTTGGACAGCCATTGAAGCTCACAACAGAGAGTCAAGTAGTGTCTCCATTAATAGTCTGGTTCCATTTATTATTAACCTGGTGAGTAAATTTGACAGTGTAGCCGCTTTAGCATTTTGATTCTTACTTGAACATTAATTATAATATTAATTCGCCATTTTTTCAAAAGTAATCCATAGTATAAACTAACGCCCTATACAAATAATACAAACTCATCAGCAGCAAAATTTACATTTTATTCATTTCATTAACTAGATATGAATATTTTGTTTTAGACGATTTCAGATATTTCTTCTATAGTGTAGTCGTAAGAAAACTATTCGACACAATTTTTTGTTGCAGAAAATTCGATTTTTCAAACTTAAAACTAAAATGGCAGTTGAGCAATCTATTGAATCAATATTAGCAGATAGCCCAACGCTAGATCTCTTGATTAAATCACAGGGAGCCAAAATGAAACAGGGAGCCAAAATGTCATTGGTGCATATGGCTGTCGGCTATGGAGAAAGTGAGCTAGTGGACTTTTTCTTAGAACACGGCTCAGAGGTGGATGCCAAAACAGCAAGTGGAGAAACTCCGTTGATACATGCGGTGCTAAGGGGCTCCGTGGAAATTGTAGATGTGCTTTTATTATACGGAGCTGATTACCAGATCAGCAACCATTTAAAGCAAAATTTGATCCATTTGGCTGTGAAAAGCTACCAACCTGAGGTCTGCAAGCGATTGTTCGCTCTCAATATCAATGTTAACCAGCTGGACCAGTCCGGAGACTCTCCATTACACGAAGCAGCGAGAAGAAACTACTGTGATATAATTAAAATGCTCAGCGAAAACAACGCCAACATCGATCTGCGGAACTTCTACAACGCCACTCCCTTGCATGTGGCAGCTGGTGGGAGAAAAAATGGAAACGCGGTTGCAGTATTGTTAGAGCAAGGCGCCTCAGTTGATTTGGTGACTGACAATTTGGACCTTCCTCTGCATAAAGCGGCTTTCTCAGGAAACGAGCAAGCAGTAAGGCTGCTATATAGGAAGGAATTTCTAATTCGGAAAAACCGAAGTGGATTCACACCTTTAATGCTTGCCGAAGCCTTCGGAAGACGGTCAGTGGTGCGTATACTTAAGGAGCTGGAAATAAGTGAATTCATCGTATCTGCAACCAGTGCCACATCTGTTGCCCAACCTAATTACGACCGTTACTATTTTAAACGTTTCATTCAGATATTTCAAGTGGTTTTCGTAATGTTAATACATTTGCTTGTATTAGTTGACACTTTAACATCCCAAGAACAATCGAGTTGAATCCCAAGAAAAAATTCAACCATGTTTTTTAATGCGGCGAGACACTCAGTCAGTATTTGCTCTATGGGTGGAATTTAAATTCGTTAGAAGTTGATTTCATTGTCCCTTAATAACATTGAATTAAGCTTGTAGAACGATGGTCTCCTATTTCGAACCATTAGCTTGTTTCACGTAAATTAAATGCGCGCAAGTAATTTATGAAGTAGGTGGGGTCTTTAATTCTATAAGATCAAGAATACATTAACTGAAAGTAAGCGAGATTATAGTTGTTTTAATGTTCATTTCAAATTGTTAAATGTGTAATCGAATCATGCTCAAGAACTTGTTTGGAAAAATTTTGAACTTTTAGATGCATGTAAACCACTGGACAATTGCCATCATCGGCCAGCTTTAGAGCAATGCCAGTAGATTTTATTTAAATACTTTAGTAGATTAATGTTTACTTTATTACAATTATATGCTGCTATTTATTCTGCATAATGCAGTGTAATTTTATTTAGGTAGTAGTTTATTTGCAGTTTAGTATTTACTTTGTATTCCAATCATATGAATATATGTTATGAATTATTCAAAGTGAGTTTTATTCGATGATAAGTAGAGGCAATGGTAGTTTTGCTTGTTCTGCTAGGAACTGTTTAGTTTCTTTTATTTTATTCCATAACTTGCAATATATATTTCAACCGTACATTTGGTACTTGCTAATAAGCAGTCTTAGGAGAAATATTGATATAAGAAAATATCAAACATTTTAGTTTAATTTGTTTCAGCTAAATTAATGGCGCGCAATTAATGTATGAATTAGTGGAATGGCTGGTATAGTTAGGGGTTTTTAATTCTGT